AATTGTTTGTTTTGTTTTAATGAAATGAATAAATGAATAAACTAAAACTGAAACTGTGTTTTTTCCTGTCCCTGTGTATAAAAATCATTTGCTTCATAAATACAACGAAGCTTATGATTGTCGTTCATGTTTGGTACAGACTCACTCGGAGCTCATTGGAGGTTTTCATCAGAAAAACACACAGTAAAGATGATTTGATTTTGATACTGCTGTATGTATGAAAAGCCTTTTTTTTCAGTCTGCACCTTCTGTCCATACCACTGACAGGTCAGTATACCCACCTGCAAGTGTACCAGCCAGACCAGCATAGTACTCTATGCACTGCCAGGCTATGTCGATGTCCACAAGAGCTTCAGTGATGGACTTGCCGTTGTTGATCACTTCCAGCTTTGCAATCTTCTCCTTTTTTTCCTGTATTGAACAGAAACAATAAAAAAAAGGATTAGCTGTTCGAGCCTCGGCGTGTTAACGGAGGTCCAACAGACATGCAAGAGGGATTTATGCACAAATGGAAGCAGACACTGAGGGCAGAGGTGGGCTGTTAATGAGCAACCAATGTCTTTCTGCGTTCCTGCAACAGTCAGCTCCGATTTGTGTTGCACAATCGTTGACGAGGGGAAAAACCGGAGCTCTTTCGACACACGGCTGTGTGTGATTGTCTCACCCTGATGATGCGGGCCGCCTCGAGCATGATCCGGGCCCGCTCCATGCCGGCCAGCTTGCTCCATTTGAGGTAGGCGGAGTGTGCGCTCTGTATGGCTTCATCTACCTCCTCAGCCCCACAGGGCACCATCTGACACAGGACACGGCCTGAGGACAACAGACCCACAGGTTACTGATCAGGAAGCAAAGCTCTGAGCATCACCTGCAGCTTGTCACGACGGTTTTCAGGTTTCAGCAAATTTTGTCGAAGCTTAAATACAGCGTGATCTCATGATTTCACACTTATTACATGTCATAAATGACTCTCAGCTGCTAACAAATGATATTTTACTTCAATATCTGTAAAAAAAAACTCCCAATTATGGCCTATTTTTCTGCTGGCTAATGTCAGCCATGTTGAGCTGAGCAGACTCCACAAGTTCGAGTTTCATTAAATGTCAGGAAAAATAATTGATTTGTGTCAGCGCTCAGAACATGTGTTGTGGCTCACCCTCAGCTACTACCACAACAAATTTTAGGTTAAGATCTGTAAAACTGACCAAATTATAGCAACGTTCATGTCCTGTAATCTCAGTCAGCTATGATGGTCATCTTAAAATCAGATTGACTCTTACGTTTAATCAGGTGCAGATGTGCACACAGTGATTACTTTCTGATCGTTTCAATCAAATCCAACAACTAGCTCATGAGATATTTTGCTAACAGACAAAGCAGTTAATGCAAAAGTTTTAAGTTAAGATCTTGCATAATAAAATACGTAATATGTGTTGTAAATGGGTCATATTACCACACCCGCTTTCAGCTCTGTGTTAGTAAAATTGTTTAAATTAAAGCAACTTTTGTGTTTTCTAATTTGCATGGACTACAGCTCATTTCATGCATTGGATTGGCTCCAGACTCTAATCAGTTGAAGAGGTAGAACCTGGGATTATTTTTTGAGAGTTTCATTAATACCCATCAAGTTGTTTATGAAATATTTTGCTAACAGACACAGATTCAAAAACTACTGCAGCTAGTGTGTTTTCTTTTTTATGAATTCGGTTCAAATTATCACAGCTGCTCCACCCAAAAACAACAAACTATGAAGTGAAACAACTAAGACAACAGCTTACATTTGTAAATATAATTCTGCTGAGCTTTAACTGTATTTTTGAAGCAGGCTGGGACGTGGAGGATAGTTACCAGTCGCAGGCTCGAACACGGACTCGGCGTTTTTCTCCTGCCGGGGTTTAACCCTCTTTCCAGCCCAGAAGTTCAGCGGTTCCGTGACCACCACGGTTCCGGTCGAGGCTCCGGGCATCGAGTCCAGGACTGACTGGGCCATTTTCAGACGAACAGGAGTCTGAAAGAAAACGCGTGAGAAAACTTTCTGAAAACCGACCACGTTACGTAACAACATGTCCTGTGCTTGTTTCTGTCCTCTTGTTGTCTGAACTGTGATCTCATTGTGCTCTGTACAATAAAATAAAGCTTTATCTTATCTTATAACCGTCAATGACAGGTTCGTGTAATTAACGCTAGCTTTGAAGTCACGTTAAACAGCACGAGGGCAGGAAGGCACGTGCAGCTGATATATTACACAGTGTAAGCAAAGTTTGAGAAAGAAAAACAATTTTACCTTCTCTGGTGCAAAGTCGGTGCAAGATGGACGCGGGTTCACAATTTGCGGGGTTTTATTTATGCACTTTCGGCGCGTGGACACACCTCCTTTCCCAGCCTTCTCGCTCACTGGACAAATGTCAGACACACCCACTACAGTTACAGCAGCTGACAGTTATCACAGGCAGGGGGAGAAGGGTCATCTGCAGAATCCAAGTGGGCGTGTCACAAGAGTGGGCGTGTCTAAAGCATAAACACTGTGGGCTAAGAGGCCTACATGATGGTATCCTTAGATCCTGCTAGATGTCTTTACAGCCCGACCCTGACTCCAACACTAAGGTTAACCAGGAGAAATGCGACCCAAGTAGGGTTCTCCAGAAAAAAAAAGTGGTGCCGTCCAGTAACGCCCCTTTTGTTCTTGTCCAATCAGGTGGTGCCGTACGGTGTCGCCCCTTTTTCCCTGTCCAGTCAGGTG